GAGAGAGAGAGAGAGAGAGAGAGAGAGAGAGGTGTTCAGCAGTTATAAAGCAAGTTTCTCTATTTCCTTGGGATTTTTGATCGTTTAGATCACTCCATTATCTTAAACAGACTCATTTGATCAACATTCTTAGATATCAGATGCACACAACTCAATCGAATTTGATCATCTTCTCAAAGTGTTTTGGGATTTCCCAATTAATGTTCGCATCGCTTGCTTACTTCAACCATGGATTGCTGTAAAGATATTGCAGCGACCTTTATCTCAAGACCGACTCATACCGGGCATGCAATTGGTGTCTAAGGGATGAAGGAGAAACAAAAGACACCAAGAAGCCGATCTCTTCCTCGAACACTACCGAGGGCTCAGGAGTAAAGATCCAGCGAGAGATCACTCTTCCGTCGCAGCTGAACAAACCCATCAAGAAGATGAGACTGTTGGATCGATCAGCATCGGATGCCACAGATCACATGCGATCAGAAGAGCTCTCGCCAAGCTTCCGCAGAGGGGGGAGGCAGGTCGCCAAAGGAAAGGTGCGAAGGTACAAACTCCTGGAAGAGGTCTCCAGCTAGATTATGCTTTGAAGTAATTACCTCGTATCTTCTTCTTTGTAAGACAATTCAGCTATGTTAATATGTTATGCCACGAGAAAACTGAGCCACCACAACTCAAACGAAGTGATTGCCAGCTTAGTGGTGTGTAGTGACTACGCCTTTTTACCGTGATGATGATGATGAGGAGGAGGAAAGGGAGGGAGACAATGCCAGGCCCAGACAGCACATGCAAGAGGGAGAAGAAAGCGGCGAGGGATGTGGCGGAAGACAGACAAGTGATGAAATCACTGGGAGAAAAGCAAGGTGGGGTGTCCTTGTTGCAGGAAGCTCGGTATATGGAATCCGCCTTTTGGTTCGCTCGTGGGAAGGCCAACTTAGACAAGGGAGACGCAGTTAACTCCTACGTGAAGCTCGTGTCACAATAGAAAAGATCGTTGGGATGTGATGCGTACCAAAAGCATGCATTGTTTATGTGCGCATGCCATCTATTCCCAAAAGAATACGTACCCAAAGCTCAATCTTTTTTAGGTTGAATTGGTGTCAACTTCATCCACGACTTAAATAAGATTGTGATTGGATCTTTCTTGATCTCAACCACCCTCTCCATGGCTTTCTATATAAAGGCAGGAGTCTCCCAGCATCTAACCATAGCTATCGTAGCATGACGCAGATCCGATCCAACAAACAAATCAACAGAACATGATGTGAGCAAAAGAATAGCTTTGATTTTGTTGGTAGCCGCAGGCACGATGTTTAAAGCAGTTTTGTCAATGTAGGTTCAAGGTACTTTTTATTAATCGATTTAGACTGAATAAATCTGATTTTAATTTTAAAAATAAAAAATCAATTCGATCGATTCTACTATCCTTATACAGTTCAAACATGAACCAATTTAAATGTTAGAATTTCACAAATGATATAGGTTTAATTTTATAAATCTTAATCATGTTAGTCTAATTTGACTAAGATTTTGATTTCGATTCGATTGAACAAACTCAAATTATTTAAAATATTTTTTTTTAAATTACTTAAAATTATAAATTGATTAACCTATTAATCAAACTAGATTAGTATACTATGAACCGGTTTCATTAGATTAATTTAAACTAGCTAGATTCGACCCTTAATGATTCTAATCAATTTAAACACCCTTATTAGGAGACCAAAGTGACCAACGTTTACCGTATCATCGTATCACCTCCCCCTTCTATGATTGGACATAGTGCAAACGGTATAAGTATTCCTGAATCCTATCTTTGTTTTCAGTATATAGCTCATCGCATCTTCCTCTCATGACTAGAAGCGGAAGGGGAGAGGGAGACAAAGTTATGGAGGCTAGAGAAGATTGTGTTGTTATGTTAGATTACGTTGTTCTATTTAATTATATAATATATATTATTAGATATAATTAGATTCTGATTATAGTTATCGGTTAATAGAAAAGAAGTTCAATTATAGTAAAAATTTTTAAAAGATGATATTAATAGGAATGACTCTCCTAATTACTTATTCTAGACCCTCTACGACTTCCTAGGGACTCAACATGGATATGTGATATTTTTAAGAGATTTCAGATCTCATATTATCTCCCCTTAGTCACATAAATCAATTATTTAGATTACAGATCTTTTCTTATCTTTCATTTGTCCTTAATCCATCACTCATAAAAGTCCTGCGAATGATAGGAAGAAAGGAGGAAGTGAGTCTAATTCTCCTTTTAAATCGTCATCATTGTATCTTTCGCATCTACGATGTGCCTGCAAATCAGATAAAAGCTTTCTAGTAGCATCAAAAGGCACATCTCATAAATTTTGATATATCATTATTTGATTTTAGTTTTCTAGCATTAAAGTTTTTTTGCATAACAGTAGCATATTATAATTTCTATGCTTACAATTGGTATCAAAGATATGTTTTGAAATCAAATACTTTAGATAGTAAAAAAATTTTAGATATATTTTATAATTAGATCTATTTATTAGTACTATTCACTTACGAAAAGGTGTTACTTGATTTTAAATTTTGATGCTTGAATGATATGTATGTGTTATCGATCTATTTTCTATCTAGTTCGTCATATCACCTACGTGCGGATGATGTGAGGTTCCTCATATTTGATTGATGGATCACTATCGATAGCTTGTTATTAGTAATAGTATTATCGAGGGTGATGGCCTCTAGTGGTCGTCAACCCAATCACGGGCAGCTAATACGTATGCAATAGAAGTACCATGGGATGCAATAGCCTTGTGGTGGCTGGCCTGCCTTGGTCGCAGGCGACTATAGTAGTGTCACTGCATGTGTGTGGCGACTGTAACAACATCGCTGCATGTGGTGGCTGCAACAACGTCGCTACAACATTTTCCAGCTAGGGCTAATGTCGACCGAATGTCAAAGGCTGCAATACCTAGTGGCTACACAGTGAACGGTTAATGAATCACCAACGAGACTCACGCATGTGGGCCGAGCGACGATGCACAATTGACGATCGTGTCTAGTGCAATGTCACGAAAAGGAAGTAGGGTTTTTAGGAAAGAACATAATTTACCCCTCAGAAATAAAAAATTTCTAAGATGTATATTTATATTTTACCTTCTACCCTTAAGAAATTATATATTTTCAAAATATCCCATACAAAATTATAATTTTACCCTTCAAAAATTAAAAATTTTTAACTTAGGTCCTCATTTGTAAAATTAATTAATTTAATTTATTTCAATCCAGTATTTTGATCGAACATGATCATGTTTATATTTTGATTACTTAATTGGATTTAGACTCGATCAATCAAGTTCTAATCGAATTCGAGGAAAGTCAAATTTTGATCAATTTTAATTTTTGACTAATTAATTAGGTTAATGTTTAGCCCAATTCGAGGCCTACCCAATTAAATATAGTTAACTGGTCTAAGGGTTCCATGCAAAATTAAAAAATTATAACTTATGATTTTCTCTTATAGTTTTTTAATGATATATTGATAAAATTTTGTATGTGATAAATAAAAAATCTAATTATTAACCTTGGATTTTTGTTTGGTTATTCACATTCATATATTTGAAATTATAAAATAATATTTATTTATTTTTCATATAAAGGCATGATTTATGGTATATTATGATTATAGTTATAATATCATTTTTATGCTAATTAATATTTGATAATTATTATAGTTATTATTTTTATTATTATTGAATTATTTTTGGCATAAATTAGATTAAAAAATTTGGTGAATATTATTTATAACTCATATCCCTAAGTTTTATCTAATAGGTAGTTCTCAAAGTGGCTTGGGATGATAGCATTATAGGATATGAATTATAATAAAAATTTTATCATTTATAAATTATTTTAAATTATATTTTATATTATTATATTAGTCTTATAGCCACCAAAATGGTCTAGACTAATAACTTATAAAATTATAGAATTAATCATAAATAAAATTAAGAAAAATAATATTGGCAATAGCACACGTAATTAGAAGATCTAAATAATCCTAAAAGAAAATCTACTTCAAATAACTATGCGATGGGATAGGATAGGATAATGCTATCTTGGATATCATTATAATTTAGGATTGTATATCCAAAGATAGCAATGCTATTCTGGTATCAGTAATTCATAAATAATTTTGTGTGGACATTAGATATATCAATATTTCACTCAAAAGTGAAATAAAGATGATATAAATAGTCCAACATTTACTAAAAAACTCAAAGTATTAGTATTATATTATTTTATTATAGTGATACTTCCTTTAGTGCATTTTGATAAATGTCACTATTTTTTTAAATAAATTATTATAAATGATTTGAGCATTTGTAATTTATATTGTGTGTGTTAAAGATCTTGATTAGACTAGTTGAAGGGATCGTAAGCATTATTAAAGTCTTGTGAAATAAATAATTGAGATAAATAATCAAAAAAGATTTAAAAGACTCACTTTTATGATAATTACTAATAATACTTAAGACTTCATTATAATCTCTAACTAGTAAACTAGAATATTTAAAGATCAATTTAAATTTACTTATAAATTATTAGTTAACATGAAAGACTTGATTGAAATTCATTATAAAAGTATTTGAGAAATTTAAGATTATATCCTCAATATAAACTCATAAAAGAAAAATATGTTACTTCTTTAGCAAGAAAGGTTATATGAAGAAGGAGTATAAGGTTTTGGTTTGAAAAAGAAAAGGTATAAGTTTAGCTTTTGTATATTTTGAATCAAACATTATAGAAATCCTTTTCTAATATTTGATAGATTGATTTTGGTGCTTCAATTTTTATTACTAATAATCAAGATTCATTTTAATATGAAAACCAAAAGAGTATGAATTATTCATCATTATAGGGAATCATCTTAAAGCAAAAGCGATAGTAGTTGGTATTCGTTGCTTATGCATTGAGATGATTCATATAATGTTATGTTCCTATAATTCTAGAAATTTGAGTTCTTTATTTAGAATTATCAGGATATTACTTTTTTTTATGATTGTAAACTCAATATATTTATGATTCAATAAAAGTTAACTTTTAAATTCTATTTGATGGTCTATATAGAATTAATATGAATATTAAGTTTATAATAATCCTATTTGATGGTCTTTGAGATTATATATGTTTACATATGTAAATCACTTCATGTTTCATATTTTAGTGGTGAGAGAAATTTTATCACATTTATATATTACCTATTGAGTTATGACTCTATATATTTAATTCAAGTAAAGTCATAAGTTATTAACACCAGTTGAGTTTGGTCAGATCAAGTAAAGTACATAAATAAAGTTGAGAGACAATTAGATATAAAAGTTAAAATTATTAGATCTAGTATGGGTGATAAATTTTATTATATTTATAATGAGTTTGGTCATAATTCTAGTTCTTTTACTAGATTCCTAGAAAAGGAGAGTATTTGTGCTAAGTATATTTTATCATATATGTCACAATAGAAAAGAATTACTAAAAGTAAAATTGTACTCTTATGGATATAGTTAGCAGGATGATAAGTTATTTTTTTATATGTAAATGAATATAAGGAGAAGCTCTAAGGACGATTATATATATCTTGAATAGGGTTAAGTCAATTCCAT